TATATATATATATATATAATAGCTGAAAGGAAATATATTAAAAATGTATCCCTAAATATCTTTTTTAAGGAAAAACAAACATATTTTTGTAACAATTCTAGATGTAAAAAGATTGGTACAAACGAGATATAACAGATGCAAATCCTAAATTGAGTTGCATGCGATAACAGAGAATTAACTCTCCCATCTTATTCCAAGATACTTATCTTGTTCTGAAGCCAGTTAGCTTAAGCTAGTTCAGCTTTCGCAAGAACGTTAATTGATGTCATTATAAATTCCTATAAAATGTTTATTGCGTGTGGAATTTTCGCGTAGAATCGGCCGCCATATCGAGTAATAATTGACATGGTCTAAAAGCCTCGCCGTAATGACTTTGGAATTCCTCCATCTTTTTGACGAGTCGACGAGCGCCGTATGCGTCCACCCAACGGAACGGACCACCCGTGAAGGGCGGAAAACCCAAGCCAAACACAGCTCCCACGTTGCCCTCCAACTGAGAAATATAAATATAACTCATAAACGAATAGAATCAAGTATAACAAAAATGTCATAAGATTGCTGTGCTACTTGCACGTTTACGCTAGTAGCATAACAACGATAAGTAAATGTATTGACTTACGGGATTAGCTAGAATATTTTCTTGCAAACAAAGCACCGCTTCGTTGACAAATCGCGAGACCAATCTCATCTGACGATCCTCATCGGATGTGCTACCTTTAGGCTCGAGTGTGTATTTCTTCAAGATATCTAACGCGTCGACATTTACTTGCCTGTTCTTAGAGCCGGTTTCGTACACGAATATACCTTTGCCGGATTTGCGTCCTAAAATTCACACAAATCTAGAGTTCTAGCTTAATTTGATCCTTTATAATCCGTTGATAATATTTTCTCATGTCTATTTAATAAATAAATAATTTATCACAATCGCACATGCAATAAATGCTCTCCGCAATTAAAAGTGCTCTCTTTATACGAAATTAAACAATACAATTCGGTTATATTATATGTATATCGGGGTAAAAAATTTACCGAAAAAACCGGCTTTGACCAAGTCGCTAAGAATATTCACATCTCCCCCTCTAAAACGCTCGCCGAAAGCTTTGTCGAGGTCGACGCTGATGTGAGCACCCACATCGATGCCAACTTCGTCGGACAAAGTAGCCGCGCCCACGGGAAAACCGAATGTCTTCGTCAGCTTATCCAAGTGCATTGGATCTACACCTTCCTGTTTATCACAAATTATATATTCATAATTTGAGATTAGAACAATCAATGTCCCAACCCCCTTGATATAATTGTAGAATAATATCGGTCATGCTAATAATTAACCGCAGATTTAGATACTTAAAAAATATCATTTTCACTTCTCGTGGTTTCAATAAACCGTCAACTATCACTTACTTGCATCAGTCTAACCGCTTCTGACAACATAGCGGAAAGTATTCTTGTGGTATAGAATCCGGGACCGTCACCAACCGTGATAACAGTTTTGCCTTGCTTCAGACCGACGTCCACAGCAGTCCTGATAGTTTCTTCGGCCGTTCCTTTGTGCGTTATAATTTCTAACAATTGCATTTTGTCAACAGGAGAGAAATAATGCATGCCGATTACCTGTAAAGAATCACGCCTTGAAGCTCATCACACACATTTATATATTTAATATAATTATATATTATAATAACATTAAATTTCACTATTATAATTAAATAGATTAGATAAGAATTATTTTATCTTGTACATATATTTGATTATAATTTAAGTTAAATAATTTTTCAAATTAAATACATAGATGTGCATTTACTTTATCAGGACGGCTGCTACCGGCAGCGATCTTTGTGATGGGAATCGCGGACGTGTTAGTCGCGATGACGCAGTGACTCGGCGCTACAGATTCAATCTCCTTTATAACTTTGTGCTTGATGCCGATGTTCTCGAATACTGCTTCAATCACTACATCTGCGTTTTTGAAGGAGTCGTAATTTAATGTCGCGTCGAGATGCGAGAGATATTTGTCCTTTACCACACTGTGTAGAAAACTTTTATTGAAAAGTCTGCATTTTACGTGTAGCTTTGCTTTTCTTTTATTAGAAAAACACCGAACCTGGATATTCGTTTACGCTTCACGGCGCCGTCTAGGCCTTTCTGAATCTGGCTTATACCGCGATAGAGTCCAGACTGGTTGGTATCCTTCATAATGACA